GTCTAATCAGGATGTAAATTTTTCTTGCTTTAACACTGGTAACATTTATCTAGAAAACTGTCATTTACGTTTTCAAATTTACTGCCCAAAATTGTTCATAGTATTTTTCCATTTTCTCCTAATATTGTCTATTTGTCCCTTTTCCCATCCCCCCATCAACCCTGACAGAAGTTTGCCTTTTTATTAGTCTTTTTAAAAAACTAGCTTCTGATTTTGTCAATCTTTATTATTTGTTTTATATTACATTAATTGTTGGTCTTGTCTTTATTATTTCCTTTCATCTATTTCCTTGGGTATACTCTGTTGTCCTCTTCTCAACTTGAGTTCATTAATTTGTAAATCTTTCTTCTTTTCTTATACATTTCAGGATATAAACTTCTCTTCACATCCCACTTTAGCTATATTCCATAAATTGGTATTTGGAATGCCTTTGTTTTTATTCAGTTCTAAATATTTTATAATTTCCATTATAATTTCTTCTTAGATCCATGACATCATATGTGTACATATATATGTATGTGTGTGTATATATTCATGACGTACATATCCATTATCTGTTTAAATATATTTAGAAGTGGGCTTAGTAGGATTCCAAACATATTTGGTGGGGGGGGGCGTTAGCAGTCATTGTTTATTGCTAATTTTCTTGCATTTTGGTCAAAAAATGTGGTATGCATAAAGTTGACTCTTCAGTATTTTTTGAGGTTTCCTTTATACCCTAATTTGTCATCAATTTTTGAAAAATATACTTTGCAAGGTTGAAACAAATAAGTATTTTCTACTGGTTGGGCACAGAATTCTACGTATGTATTACTTGATCAAGTTTGTTTCTTACGGAAGTGTTCAAATTTTCTATGTCCTAATTATTTCTCTGCTTTATTAGTATCTGAGAGAAGGGTATTTAAAAACTCCCACTATGGTTATGGATTTGTTAACAATTAAGTCAAGTTTTTCTTTATACATTTTGAAGCTATGTTGTTAGTATTCTGTGGGTTTAAAACTGCTCTATTTTTTTTGGTGAATTATCCTTTTATCATCTAGTAATAACATTTCTTAATCCCTAATAGAATTCTTTTAAATTTCAAAAGCTTATCTGTCTGATGTTAGTATCAATATAATTACTCCAACTTATTTTTGGTTAGCATTTGCCTAGTATATCTTGTCTCACTAATTACTTTCAAACTTTCAGTATCCTCTGTTTTAGGTTTGTCTCTTATAAATCACATATATCTTTAAAATTTTTAAAAAATTAATTTCCATTATCTGGTTAATTTAAAATTTTACATCTATTGTGATTGCCTTTTTATCACTCTTTTTAAAAAACTGGCTTTTGGTTTTGTCAATCTTTATTATTTAGCAGTAAGTACATTTGGCAAATGACTAATGGAAAAAATTCTCTTTCACAGACACAGGAAAAGGAATTAGTTGATATGCTAGCTGATCTGAACAAAGTATTGCCTCTAACAAAAGAATAATTACGAGTTTGGTATATTTAACACTGATTTCTAACAAGTGAAATCAATGTAAGTTGATGTCAACTTAAAAAGCTCAACATCACTAATCATCAGAGAAATGCAAATCAAAACCACAATGAGATACCACCTCACACCTGTCAGAACGGCCATCACCAAAAAGACCACAAATAACATGTTGGTGAGGATGTGGAGAAAAGGGAACCCTAGCACACTGCTGGTTGGAATGTAAATTGGTGCGGCCACTACAGAAAAGAGTATGGACCTCAAAAAACTAAAATCAGAACTACCATATGATCCAGCAATTCCACTCCTGGGTATATATCCAAAGAAAACAAAAACACTAATTTGAAAAGATACATGCACCCCAATGTTCATAGCAGCATTACTTACAATAGCCAAGATATGGAAGCAACCTAAATGTCCATCAACAGATAAATGGATAAAGAAGATGTGGTGTATATATACAATGGAATACTACTCGACCATAAAAAAGAATGACATTCTGCCATTTGCAACAACATGGATGGACCTAGAGGGTATTAGGCTTAGTGAAATAAGTCAGACAGAGAAAGACAAATACTGTGTTTTATCACCTATATGTGGAATCTAAAAAATAAAGCAAACAAACAAATATAACAAAACAGAAACAGACTCACAGATATGGAGAACAAATTAGTGATTACCAGTGGGGAGAGGGAAGGGGGGAGGGACAAGATAGGGGGAGGGGACTAAGAGGTACAAACTACTATGTATAAAATCAAGAAGCTACAAGGATATTTTGTACAGCATGGGGAAATATAGCCCTTATTTTATAATAACTTTCAATGGAATATAACCTATAAAACTATTGAATCACCAAGTTATACACCTGAAACTAATATGGTAAATCAACTATACTTTAAAAAAAAACCGAACAAATCAGAAAGAGGTCAGCCTTGTACCAGTTGACAATGAAAACTGCCTCATAAACATCTGCACCTATCTACAGGGGATGGGAAATACAGTAAAAACTTTAGAAACCACTCATTCGAGTCCAGCTCATTCATTTTTTATTGTGGTAAAATATGCATAACATAAAATTGCTCGTTCATTCTTACACAGTGGACAGGTGACCTGCCTAAGATCACTCAGAAAAGATGACCAGGCCCTAAATGGGTTAGGGCTCTACAACTGTGAAAACTAGCTGTTGCGGCGGGATGGGTGCGAGGTGGAGGAAAGTGGGAAGGAGTGATTCTGCATGTGCAGACTCACGGGATTTTCCAACAGAACCGTACTTGGAGTGTTCTGGTTAACCAGAAAAGCTTGACTATGCAGTCAGGAAGGGAAAAACAGGGCAAACATGAGGGCTTCTCACGAACTACCCCCAAAATAAATACAACTAAAGGCTCAGGCAACTTTTTTTTTAATCATTAAAATGTTGGAGAGGAAAGTCCAATGCTGCAGATTTGCTTTAATGGGAAGACAGTTCTTTTGCTCCTGAGGGAAGGTAAGCTTGGATCAATAGCTGGGTCATTAGGATGGCTCAGAGTCTGCAGAACATATTTTATCAACAAGGACTTAAGGGTACTTTTCATGTGCCTGGAGCACTGCTTGATGCAAAAGGAATGAAACTGATGAGGTCTCTGTGCTTAAGGATCTCACAGAATCCATGAGGAGACATAATTATGTTCAAAGACCAGAAAGCAATTAGTAGCTGTATCAAGGCCTTCAGGAAAAAGAGCATCCTGGGCCAGGGTGGTGAGGCGAGGACTTGTGGCCTGGATATGTGTGGCCTATATCAAAATCGTAACACCATCAACAGCACTCAACTATTTGCTAACTGCCTACTGGGGCGGGGGGCAGGCAACATACTGGGCAGTAATCACAGGTGTTTATATCCTCATTTTACAGATAAGGGCATAGTCTCAGAGAGGCTGGGAAACGGTTACACCTGTAGTTGAAGGACGAGCTAGAGATTCAAACCCAGGTGTGACACAAGAACCAAGCTTGATCAGTTCTCCTTAAAGCCCCTTCCATCACAGTAATGAAGGGCCAGGATTTTCAACTTGGATTTTTAAAACACTTTGTAGAAGTAATTATAATATATTCCAAAGAGGAAGGCAAAAAAAAAAAAAAAAAATCACCCCCACTTGCCTGCCTACTTCTTCTTCAGTTCTTAGCTTGAACATCGTCTCTTCCAGGACTCCTCCCTGCTCCCCAAACTGGGCTAAGCTCCCAAAATAAGAACCACAGTCCTTCATGTGCAATCTCAAAAGGCAATATGCTCTGAAAATTTAAAGTGTTTTCATAATTTTGCAGCAAGCTCGTTTGGTAGCAAAAGGTGACCTGACGTGAAACTACTTTCAGTCTTTACTTTTCCTACTCAGTGTGAATCTTCATATTCCAATGTGGAAAATAATAATGTGTTTGATTAAGCGTGCTGCCTAGACTTCACTGCAGTTACTAGAGAATACATATGTATATTACCTTCCTAAAGTCCAAACACTGCTGACTTGCAAACCACATCTGACCCCAGGAGTTTCGGACAAGGGACTCTGGACCTATTCCCTACGCATAAATCTGACTGCACTACAAGTATTTATTCTTCTTTGTAGGCCCAGCACCTGACAGAGTGCCTTGCACATAATAGGGACACAATAAATATCTCCTGAATGAAGAAACAAGGCTGTGAAATTGGCTATAGGGAAAAGGGTCAGTGGCTTGGGAGTGACCACGGCTCCCAACTTGAAGGCCAGGCCTCTACCCTGGAAGGCCACTTCCTTCTCTGACATGGAGCTCCTATAAATAATTGCCGTTGATGGAGGGCAAGCAACATAGCTGTTGTCTTCACTAGGAATAAAAATAGTCCAGTGGTCTTACATGATGGGCCCAGATATAACTTTAGCCGGGTAATACAAAACAGGAGACATTCCATACCTCAGACTACATGGGCAGCTTCGAAGATCCCCTCCAACTTGGGAGAAGACCTGCACTGGGTCTAACCCTGCTACCTGCAGTAACCTTTCTGGCCTGCAGTTTTCTCATCTGTAAAATGGCAACCAGAGTAAGCCCTAAGACCCTCGCAGGTGGGTCTCTAACAAGATAATTCAAGGGCAGAATAGCAGCAGTCGCCACACACCCCGGAGTGGGATGCACACCTCAGGAGTTTCTTCACTCCCGTCTACTGTCCTCGCAGTCCAGAGCTCACCATCCTCATTCAGTGTGCTCTGTCCAAACTACACACACCTCCTTCCATCCAAAAGCAGCAGAGTCAATGCAGAAAGACGCGTTTTGTACCCAGGGCACCCAGGGGGCTCCTTCTATCTTCGATCCCAAACAGCGGTCAAAGAATCCTGTGCAGTGTAGCCGCACAGCCCTTAGGTCCCCTGGCTCGTAAAGTGGACGGGGTGGGGAGTAACCATCGGCCAGCAAGGACCGGATTTAAAGAGGAAATTTCCTCTTAACTGCAAAGTCTCAGCACACGAGAGGGGGCTGGGTAGGAGAATAAGTGCCTCGAGATGGCAGTTCGGGGTGGTTCCTCCTTACCTGGTAACACAGGATTGTCTGCTGCACCAGCCGCGCGTATCCGTCTAAGCGGACCCCGGAATTGCTCCTGCTCCTCATCTCCGCGTTGCTCCGGGGCCTCGGCGTCCGACCTGCTACAAGGCGGTGGGACGCCTGGGCTGCGGCCGCCGAGCGGGCCCGGTTCCCAAGCACTCACAGCCTCGGTCAGTTCTCGAGATGGAGCCCGGCGTTACGAGGTAGGGACTTTTTTAAACGATAGAACCAAACTACGATTGGAAAGCAAGCCAACTAGAGTTTCTTACTGCTGAAAGGCGCGGAGGAGGAGAAAGGGGCTGGCGCTACGGCTGCCCCGCCTTGACCAGGTCCGTAGCGCTTCCGACGCTCGCGAGTCTCTCGCGGCCCCGCGGGAGAAGTGGGGAACTGGGTTCCGGGCGTGGGGCGACGATGCCCCCGCCGAGCCTTTTTTGTCTTCGGGCTGTCGTGAGACGGCCTCGGGGCCGGCCGCGAACTCTACACGACCCGCCTGCCGCAGCAGACTCACAGCCCAGTCCCCGGCCGCGCCCCCGCCGCGGAACGGAACCCTCCGAGTCGCGGCCAGTGGGGGAAGAAAAACGAGGTGGCCCCCGAGAGCAGCGGGGAACTCGGCTCCGGGCGGGAACGTTTGCCTCTATCAGCCCCTTATCTCCCTGCCGGCCGTCGACCTCAGCGGAGGCTGTGGAAATAGGTCCTTCCGTCGCGGGCATCTGGACGCCCCGGGCCCGCCCCCGGACCCGCCCCCGGCGCGGAGCCGAATCCGTGGAGCCGGGCCTGAGGCCCAGAACACGCCTAACACGCTCTGTCGCTGGCGGCCCCGCCCAGCCCTGAGATGAGCTTACAACCCCATCCCTGGCCCCGCCCTCTAGCACCGCCCCTAGATCCGCCGTCGCGGAGCAGAAAGCTCGCAGCTGCGGAGATAAAGGACTGACTCCGGGCGGGGGATAAGGCTGCCTTCCTAAGCGGCCGTGGGGAGGGCCCCGGAATGGGTTGCCAACCTCGCCAGAGGTGGGAGAAATAGGTCCGCCCACTGCGGCTGCCTGGGCGCCCCTCCGCGGACCATAATAGTAGCTCTGCCCGTGGCGCGTCTGCGCCCACGAGCGGAAGTAGAGTAGTGGGGCCCAGGGGGGAAGAGGAGAGGGGGCGACTGGGGCAGAGCAGGGTCCCCCAGCTGCCCCCCGCGCCTGCGGCCTCGCCACTAGTCACCTGGCAGAAGCTCACCGAGCCTGGCCTGCAGTCCATCTCCAGACCTGCAACTTGAAACTCGACATTACAGTTTCTGGTGGCCTATCATTACCCACAGTGTTTACAATCTTCTGCCCACTATTCATTTTCCACCAAAATCTGGTCCCATATTAATTCCAGAGGACAGCTCAGCTAATATCCTTAACTCAAGCCCTTTGCTAGTCTCCATGCATCTACTGTATGCTTGACCCAGTAGGCCTCCTCCTCCTTGCCTATCTGAAGCTTGTCTTTGGTTTAAGGGCCTGCTCGGCTCTTCTCTATTAGCCCTCCCCATTCTCTGAATTCCCATAACAATTTCTTTAGTAAGAACTTAGGTCTTGGAGTCAGTTCAAATTGAGTTCAAATTCCAGTTCTGCCATTTACAAGTGGTGCGAGCTTTGGGATGTTTTAGCTGTTTGATATTCAATGTTCTCATCTGTAAAATGGGGATAATAATAGCACCTACCTCCTAGGGTGGCTTTGAACAAGAGGGTGAATATAAAGCAGTCAGCACCATGCTTGGCTCATAGGAAAGTACTTCATGAATCACAGCTGGTTCCATCATCATTTGACAACAAGGTACTGCTCATATTGTTTTCACGTGAGGCATGTTTTTCTAACTGGATTGTAAGTTACTCATTGAAACAGTTTTGGTATCTCCTACCTTACCTGGTACAGTGTTGAGCATGTAGTTGTAGCTCAATTGGTACTGAATGAATGAATGAATGAAAGAAAATAAGTCATGTTCAGCTGGGTCCCCTATGTATCATCCTTAACCAAGTTCATTTTCAAAATTCCATAACATGAATCTGTGTCACTCGACTAAAGCACCAAACCCATTATCTCACTTTTTCTTACTATTGGCTCTTAAATAATGCAGCAATCCACGTGATGCGCCTCCATGCAAAATTTGCTATGGTCTAGGGGTAAATAAAACTAGACATTAAGTTATCACCATTAAATCTCTTGGAATGTGAATATGTACTCTTACAGAACTCTCACATATACTGTAACTAAAAGCTGGGATTATTGCTTCCTTTCATTACTGCCTTTGTTCACAGTGAGTTCTTCTTCAAGGGTCCATTTTGTAGCCATAGGGGAAAATAACTGATGACCTTTACATATTACCTGACATTTCCATCCAGGATAGAAACATTTTCAGTCTCTTGGTCTCTTTGTAAATTCTGCTACACACATATACCTCTTTTGGTGCATAGCCAGCCTACATTCTTAGGCTTTGGTCTATGCTTTAATGTATATTATCATATAAGCTGTATTTTTCAATAAGTTTGAAATTCAGGAATAAAACCAAAAAGAAGGAAGGCTATTACATTTTTAGCTTTTAAATCTCCAAGCAAATTTCAGTGATTCTTTCTGGACTACAAGCTCTGCTATATGAAAATCAGACTCATATCTTAGATTTCTATGTCCCTGAGATATAAAACCTCCATATCTTGGTCCCTATATCCATGAAAACGTTCTCTGGTTGTGTCCCAATAGAAACCCATCTCCGAGTCATTTCTCAAGTGTTTGTTAAGAATCAGATATGGAATGTGATGGGGTATGCTGTTGTTTCTGAAGCTGATTCATGATCTTTATAAAGATGAAAGTCTGAAACTAGACCCTTAGGTAGCACCATGTATAACTTCTCTGACCCCAACCAGAGGGTCTGCCCCTTGTCCTGCCATGGGGGGCTTCTGCCAAGGAAGTTCCCAGGGAGCCACATGTCACCATCCAAGGTGGAAACCAACAAATGTTTCTCTTGGAGGGTTCAGGTCTTTGACTCTAAAGAAAAGCACGCCATCTTTGACACAGAAGAGAGGGTCCGTTCTGAATTAATTTGCTGAAAATAGCCAATTTGCCAAATAATTTCTATGACAATTTAATTTTAGTTGACTGGAGATCATTTTGTTTTTTATCACAATATTTTAAAGAATGCTGAATATATCTCTGCTCCAGCTTCCTGCAGCTAGTTTGAGACTGAGAGGTAAAGAGAGAAACGCCAGGGAGCATAAGATTTCTTCACAGCGAGGTATATATCTATAAATATTTTATTTTTATTTATTTATTTATTTTGGACTGCATTGGGTCTTCGTCGCCGCGCTCAGGCTTTCTCTAGTTGTGGTAAGCGGGGGCTACTCTTCATTGCAGTGCACGGGCTTCTCATTGTGGTGGCTTCTCTTGTTGCAGAGCACGGGCTCTAGGCACTTGGGCTTCAGTAATTGTGGCTCGCGGGCTCTGGAGCGTAGGCTCGGGAGTTGTGGCGCACAGGCTTAGTTGCTCCGCGGCATGTGGGATCTTCCCGGACCAGGGCTCGAACCCGTGTCCCCTGCATTGACAGGCGGATTCTCAACCACTGCGCCACCAGGGAAGTCCTATAAATATATTTAAAAGAACACATTCTGGAAGAATGTATTCAATTTTTGTCCACCCCAACTTTTTTTTTTTTTGCAGTACGTGGGCCTCTCGCTGTTGTGGCCTCTCCCGTTGCGGAGCACAGGCTCCAGACGCGCAGCCTCAGCGGCCATGGCTCACGGGCCCAGCCGCTCAGCGGCATGTGGGATCTTCCCAGACCGGGGCGCGAACCTGTGTCCCCTGCATCGGCAGGCGGACTCTCAACCACTGCGCCACCAGGGAAGCCCCACCCCAACTTTTTGATGCTGTACCTAGAGACTAAGGTGAAAAGAAAAAAGAATATACTGCTAAGAATTCTTCCCGTTCAAGATGATGTTCTTATGTCCACTCAGTCTTATCTTTCTCCTGTCCGTCCTTCAGACTCCAACCGCAGTAGCGAGGAGCTGAAGCAGAGAAAAACTCAATAGTCCTTAAAATGCTCTTATGGAGACAAAGTGACAACGCACTAGTCCATTTGATAAATTGCTTGTTCAGTAAATTAGCTCTTTGTGGAAATGACCTTCAACAAACTAACCTGCCTCCTAGGTGACCTCGTTAGACACAACCCAGTATCTCCAATGAAGACATTTCACCCTTTTTACTGAGAACAATCATGATGCTGTTCATTGAAGTTAACAGAGTTACTTTGTGGGATTAATGAATGCAGTGTTTTGGGGGAAAAACAAAACGAAACAAAAAAAATTCTCGAATGTTCTGAGAAAATACTCCTTCAACTACTGGCCACTGTTGTGATACTCCTTGCCTCCTCATATTGCCACCACCTTTGTCTCCTTCAGTAGAGTCTCAGATTGTGGGACCAATTTGAAAGCCAAAGGAGGGTGCTTCTCAGGAACATTCTCTCTGTCCTGCCCCTTATCTGTCTGAAGTAAAAATACAGACGAGAATTTGGCTTAAGGACTGTAGCCAGACACAAAACACAATAGGAAAAATAAGGGGTGGGGGGCAGGACCTAAAGGTTGTCAGACATTGTGTATCCTTTTGTGTACACTTTGTTTACATAATCTGCTTTGGGAGATTTGGTTTCTGATATCTCACCCCCAAATCTAGAGTATCTCACCACCTCTCTCATCAAATTAGTACTCAACATCTTTGAGGCAACTGAGCATCGTGGAAGGAGAGATTGCTCAGACACCTCTTGTGGAGTTGAGGCCAGCTTTCCCCATTTGTGGCTCCTATATGCTAATCAGCTCCCCAGAAACCCCAGTTCCGATCCTCACCTTCTTGAAATCCTACTGTTTGATGCTGAGGAAGCAGACACTCGGAGGGGATCCAAATCTGGGGCTTGTGTGAGCCAATGTCAACGTGTGTTAAAGAGATAATCTTGAAAGAGCAAGAGGAAAATGAAAAAGAGACCTCAGAAAGCAATCGCGGGAGGCAGGACAATCCTTGCTCCGACTTCACGGTCACAGCGTGCCTGCCGCCTGCCAAAGGATGCTACTGTCGAGTTGCCTTCCTCAGGGTGGTCCTACCGCTTCCAAGCTCCACCACCAGGGAAAGAGATCACAAATGTTTTCCTTTTGTGAAAGTTCTCGAACTTAAAGGGCTTAACTGCAAATTTATTTTGGCAATTTTAACATTTTTGTCAATTTTAACGTATAAATACAAGACAATTAAATAAATCGGAGAAGAAATATTGCAAAGACAAATCAGCACTCACAGAAGTGTATTACGTTATTACTGTGGTTAGTCTGGGATACAACATTCACTTGAAATATATGCAAGGGAACCTTGGCGAAAGACCTAACTAAAGGTTTTTGAAATGTTCCTAGTAAGGACATACTTGAGGCACTGCTCAAGCAGTTGTAGGTAGGAAGCAAGATAGACTCGCTATGACTAGGACCAATCAGGGTTTGATACATATGGAAACAATAGCATTGCAGGATAGTTCACTGTTCCCAATAGCTGCTCCCCCTTGTCACTATACACTCATCAAGACAATTCTTTAAAAAAAAATAATTAAAGCTCTGGCTGGGCCAGAGTGTACCAGTCATAGCAATCAACAAAGTACCATGCAGTTGCTTTTTAAAGAACAGCAATATGATTTTTTTTTAATGTACATCTCTTTTAAAAGGTAATCCTACTCTACTCCCCTTTTCTGAAAGGCTCTGGGGATTTGAGAAGTGGCAGTGTATGTATCGCTTCCACATCATGATTTTTCTACCACATGGTCTAGATTACAGTTCCTTCCCTCTCGGTGACCAAGGTATTCAGCTAAACACCTTGGTGCAGCTTCCGTAATCTGATGATTAGGGAAGAGGTCAGGAGACGGGTGTCAGTATCGGATGCTATGTACGGTTGTACAGGTGCCACCCTGAACAACGGTGCATCCGAGAGGGTGAGTGGGGCGAAAATATGGCCCTCATTCTGTTTGCCAAATCACGAGCCCATGGGGCTGTGTCTGCCCAGTGGGGGCACCTTTTTCTAACTCACTCCAAGGCACTATATGAGCTAATTGTGGCACTACCTGCTTACATTTTTCCAGTCTGGCTGGCGTCATTATTTCTTGATTTCAGTGAAGTTCCTGTATTTCACATCCCATATAATCTCCAAAAGGAGCTTTAGAGGTCACTGAATCAGCAAGGATTTTCTGAATTATCACATTAGACACAACAGCACAACCGTGATTCTACAAAGAAAGAAATTTACACAGTAGAAAATAAATACCAAAAATGGAGAAGTAAGATTTTTGACATGTGGGTCACTAGAATTTATCTTATTTACAACAAAGGCATGCACGACGAAACTCACCAACAGGCTGAAGCCAACAGTGGCTTCATATGTTATCAAAGATAACTTAGCATCTTTAACTGGGGCTGGAAATGAACTACTTTGATTTTTTAGAAATGAGTCTTATTCTTAGTGTGTTGTTTAAAACCAGTCTTCTTTTAAAATGAAGGATGAGAAACCAAATCACAAATGTCTAAGAACCATGGTATAAAGTCTTGGTTTCCTCTTCCAATAGCAACCATTGCGCTCAATTAGCTTATGCTCCTCCAGAAGTTGCTGAGTATAAAATTAGTTGATTTTCATACAACTCACATTGTGTAAAAAATAAGATTGGACATTTTCACACTGTCAAGCAACATGCTTTGATTTTAGGAAAAGGAATCACATTTGCTCAATAAAGTGTAAGCTTCCCCGCTTTGAAGTCCTTCTTAGAGCGATACGGTTTTTACCATTGCAGGAATCTTCTTTCTCATTAAACATGTGCTGTTTTCCAGTGAAATCATGGAGGCACACGTCTCCATTCTGAAGACTGAAAGAAAAACCATTCTTCTCGGTAGAAGCATTCGCTGTATGAGGAAAAACAAAATCAGCGTCATAAAGTATCCACAGAAAGCATTTTCAGGGGACAGGAGAAGATGGCGGAAGAGTAGGACGCGGAGATCACCTTCCTCCCCACAGATACATCAGAAATACATCTACACGTGGAACTGCTCCTATAGCAAGCATTTTCAAAATAAACAAACGTCACTTTATTCTTAAGTATGCACATGTAGAGCATGTCTTTTTAAAAAAAAATGTCTGATATATTGTCATATTTTATTTACTTTTCATTCCTTTCCTAAGACCACTCAAAGTAAGCAAAACAAATTGGAGAATGATTCAGAAACCAGCTCTCTATGGCAGCTTTTTTTAAATGAAACGGTCAAAATATGAAGCAAAGCAATGTTTTTGATTTTAAAAGGCCCATTTCCTAACTCTGGTTGAACATATATTGCCTTCAAGTAGTAGCGTATGTATAATTTAACTTAAGGTAATATTCTGGTCTCTCCCAAAGGTTAGCAGAGATCCCTCACAAGGTTCTCAGTTCCCTAAGATTCCTATAAAGTAAAACTTTGTACCAGAGAAACCCAGAGTGACAACAGTCCTGGCAAGAAAAGAAATCATCTCTCATACACTAAACCAGCCCCTCTGACTAAATCGGGATAAGACTGATTCCCAGGAGGAAACAACAGAGTCCAACCTCAGAGTCCACGCCAGGGAGCAGGTGGGCCTCCCCAATCCCAGGCAGGCCCTGAATTGTGTGTGTGTGTGTGTGTGTGTGTGTGTGTGTGTGTGTGTGGGCGGGGGTGGGGTGGGCACAGCTGCTGAGATCCTCTAGCTCCTTGGCACCATCTTTTTGACCGTTACACCATTTGAAGACAATGTAGAAAGCTGAATAATAAGCCCAACTGTTAGTTCCTGCCATAATTATACTAATAATGACAGTGCTGAGAACTTTATAAGAATTATCTCATTTACTACCCTACGGGATGAGTGCTATTATTATCCCCATTTCACAGACGATGGAACTAAGGTGTCAGAAAGTAAGTGCTTTGCTTAAGGTTACATGGCTCAGAAGAGAAAGAGTCAACATGTGATGTCTCTTCCAAACTGTGAGCTTGTGGCCCTGTGTACTGAGTGACACGGCTGCTAGTAGCCAAGCCTCCAAGGCATAACTGAAATAGGTAGTATTCACACACACTAGGTGACGGATGTGGCTAACACAGCTCCATCTCTGGGCATAGCGATGGGCAAGTGACTGTCCGAGGCTGCTCTTCTGATTTAGGCATTTTGGTTCGAGGACATTCTTGTGCAGGAACAATTTGACCTGGTATAATAAACAAACCGTTAAACTTCCAGCTTCTTTTTCTGTCATCCATCCCAGATCCTGATGTGCAGGTTATGTGGTATTAAACACGTGGCCATTTTGTTGACCTAAAATGTACCCCACCCTCACTGTCAGCCATGGAAAATAGCTGTGCGAAGTCGGCCACGTCAAACAGTTGTGCAAAATGTGCTGCCTCCATTCAATCTGATTCCCCGAAGGATGGCAACATATTGGCAGGCTAGGCAAGTGAGGCTTCGTCTCTGAGTTCTTTCTAGAATATGGAAAAATATGGCTTTAAGAGCCCCAAACACTTCTATCCAAACCAGTAGGTTTGACTGATACGTTGTGATTCTGAGGGATCTTGATGACTCAGCTCACACCTCTGATTTCTCTACTTTGAACTCGGTTTCTCCCACTAACTTATGAATCAGCCTTGACTGCCACTGCCTCTACTCTGTTTACCTGCACTGAGTCACTCCCGCTATAGCAACTTGGCACCGAGCCCAGCTCTCCCTCTGGTATCTACAATAAAGAGCTAAGGCCCCATGGCAACTGTTTCTCATCTGATAAGGCAATGGTTCTCAGCAACTGGGGGGCGGGGCGATCTTATTCCCCAGGGAACATTCCACAATACTGGAAGACATTTTTAGTTGTCACAGCTGGGGGGGGCGGTGAGCGGCTGGCTGCTACTGGTACCTGGTGGGTGGAGACCAGGGGTGCTGCTAGACACTCTCAAATGCACAGAACAGGCCCCACAACAGAGAGTTATCTAGCCCCAAATGTTAACTGTGCCGAGGTTGAGAAACCTTGATTTTAGAGACCTCCTCTTGTATTTTATTTATTTAAAAACAATTTTTTAAATTAATTAATTAATCTTTGGCTGCGTTGGGTCTCCATTGCTGCACGTGGGCTTTCTCTAGTTGTGGCGAGCAGGGGCTGCTCTTCATTGCGATGCCCGTGGGCTCTAGAGCACAGGCTCAGTAGTTGTGGCACACGGGCTTAGTTGCTCCGCGGCATGTGGGATCTTCCCGGACCAGGGCTCGAACCCGTGTCCCCGGCATTGGCAGGTGAATTCTTAACCACTGCGCCACCAGGGAAGTCCCTCCTCTTGTATCTTAAAAGTCTATACAAACCAGTAGGACCTCCCATCTTTGGGAGGCTAGAAAATTATCTGGTAAGTATATGAACCTTCTCACAAATTTATCTGAATTTGTCAAGCAAATAACTAATATTCTAAAATGATAAGTAAAGGCAAATTCTCCAGGAAAGGAGAAAGTATACCAGCAGAATTTAAGTTTTTATAAAAATGCAAAAGACATATTAAGAAGCCAAAGAAGAGAGAAACAGATAAGTTTTTATGAGTAATGAACTGCCCAGTCTTATGAAAGAAAGAAAACGTAATGGAAGTTCTAGCTAGAAATGTCACAATTAATGAGTAAAGGAGGCACAGCAGCAATGATCTGTATGTATATTGGAGACATATATAGTCACCAATACAGGTCACAATTCATCTTCCAGTATTTTATATATTCATGGGGATTTGGGCACTGTCACAAGGCAGCCACGCTGTGGAAAAGAATGAACAAACATGACAAGCAAAAAATAGGAAGGTTTAAAAGTGTTGAAGATGTGTATAATTATAGATATACTGAAAAACTGATATAGTCTTACTGAGTATTTTAGGTACTGCTTGCACAGAAACAGCATAGGACTGAAGTCTTTGGGCAATACTTAAGTCAGGATTTGCCACATTAAAACTTTTAGGTCGTCATCAATTCCCATCGTGAAAACTTAAATCTTTAAAAAAAAACAACCCCTAAATCTTAAAAAAAAAAACTGCTCTAAAACGAATGAACTTGGATTAATAAACTTTCTCTTTTATAAGAGAACCACATTTTGATCCACTAGTCATACATGTAATTATACACTTTGCTTAGCAAAAATGCCATTAAAGGATAAAAGTGCTTTAATACAACAAACACTAGCTTGAGAAATACTATATTGAGACATAACGTACCATTTCCGCTCGTGAGTCCTGAGCAATCATTATTCACTAGCAGCGTGGTGGACTGGGTGGAGTTACTGTTTGACTGTAAGGAATTTGAAGAGCTCGAGACTCCTTGGTTTACAGTCTGCTTCTTTAAACCATTAGTAGCAGTTTTACTCCAGTCTACAGTAGGGTAAGCATTACAGAAAAACAGGGCAGAATGTTGAAACTCAGATGCAGGAGACAGGTCACAGCATAACTCGTTCTAAGCAACTGATCTCTCGCTTCCAGATCTTACAGAGAATCCCACATTTCACAGGTTGGTGTGATAAAATGTATTTTCATTTAAGACTGTATACATTCGTCCTTTAAATGACTGCCTGGTTGAAAGTAACCTATGTTCTCTGGGAACTAAAGGCCAAGCTAATTTGATTGTGTCTATAAATATCCTCTGAATTAGGTAATATTTCAGAGCCAAGGACTGTCTTCACAAGAACACAAATCGACCTGCTGTGATGACTAATGGCTCTTCAATCCAGGCAAATGATGGAACTCTAGGTACTGCCATTTTCCAATCTTGTGCAACCAGATCTTTGCAATACTGCAAAGTCTGTATTCATGGGTAATATTTATGCAAAAGGAATTTAGATTTTCAAAGAGTACTTCGTTTTTCTTATTTTCTTAAAAATGAGCTATTTGCTCTATAACCCAGGAGGGCATAGCTGAAAATAACTTCAAAATAACCAAATGTATGCTAAGGCTTATATATAAAGTCTGGCCCAATAACAAATAAATGAAGTCACTGACAACCAGGACCTGTGGAAAAAAGGTTGAGTCAAGACTTAAAAAGTTAGGGAGGTAAATATTAAAAATTTCTTTGGACAAATGGAAAGCATGCACTCGAAAGGAAATGAATTCTAAAAATTTCACTGTTGCTTCATTCAGGAAGCAGCCAGGCCACTAATTCTATTGCTCACTAAGTTCCCAGATGTGAGTAATTGGTTTTTAATTCACTAGGTTTTTTCCCCTAATGTTCACAATGGATATTTTGTGTTGAGCAGGCTCCATTCATTGATTTCCAGACCCGATATTCCTTTGGCATTAATTGCTTTGGATCTTAGCTTATACAATCTTTTCCTCAAGCTTTAAGGGAAGGAGAAAAAGTAAGGTAAATATGTACCAGAATTTTCAGCCAGTCGTAACTTTCCACAACACAGATACCGTCTCCACTGCTTTCTGACGTTCTCTTTTGCTACACAGTAAAAGATGAATATGAAAAATCCTATGGGGAGGGGGGGAAAAACATAACACAATGAATTCCAAACTAAGACTTGAATGTCATGAGCTTACTCTGCACAAAAGATAAAACCTTTGGCAGCCATAGGCAAAATGAAATTTTGCAGATTGAAAATAAAGCCTGAAGTCCTGGGAAAGTTTAATCTCGAAAGGCACCCTGGGAGGACTCTCTTTGTAAGATTAAAAAAATACTTGTAAAAAGAATATCACTCCATATGTCCAAACTTAAACTCACTGTCTCACCTCTCACATCCTGTCATTGGCCTTCCCTATCTTTGGAATTACGAGCCATCTACCCAGGATGCCAGCTCAGACCTAGGCTCTGCCAACTAAAGAATGTTGCTGGCCATCCAGCTCTACAAGGATCGAGTCATAAGCCACTGCAGTCACTGACATTCAACACACCCTAAAAGGGTTTCAGGATGGAGATCAGGCATGAGGCGCTCTGTGCTCGGGGAAAACTGGTAGAAAAGGCCTTCGGATGGTTAGGTATTTTCAGGAGAAAATTTTAGGAACCCAGTTTCTTGCATCTTCCCACACTTAGAAAAGCACTAAAAGCATTAACTAAGATATCTGTGCCTTGTGACAAGCAGTAACCTTCTGCCGAGATGTGTGCTTGACTGTACATACCCCTTCTCCAAACTCACACATATGCTGATCTCCCCCCTTACCTCTTCGGAGCAGTTCTTCAGAGCTTTCTGAGCGGCTCTCTCCCGGACTCTATTCCCCCAAAGAAAATTGAAACTCCCAGCTCTCACATTGTGCTTTTTTTTTTTTTTTTTAATATTTATTTATTTGGCTGTACCAGGGCTTAGTTGCGGCAGGTGGGATCTAGTTCCCTGACCAGGGATTGAACCCAGGGCCCCTGCATCGGGAGTGCAGAGTCTTAACCACCGGGCCACCAGGGAAGTCCCTGTGCTTTTTTAATTTCAGTCCACAGCTCCTACCTCCCCGTCCCTCCATATGCGTAATTGATTTCCAAGTTCTGTCAAATGCCATCTCCTCCTTTGTCTCACACCCCTCCCTCCTTCTCTCCAGTCCACAGCCATATCCCTTCCCTGGGCCTTCCTGCGAAGCCTGGGGCACTGCGGCCATAGCCTTGTCTACCTTCCAGCCTCCCGAAGCCTGGGGCACTGCGGCCATAGCCTTGTCTACCTTCCAGCCTCCCTGTGACAGGCTCAAGGAAATTCTCCAGTGGTGTCCTGGCCACAACACTACAGACGGGAAAAGGCCCTCAGGCTCTGCCTCCACCCCCCACTGCATGCAGGCGCAGGGCTCCCCACACAGCCCCCTCGCTACCACTCCCCAAGGCTTTGAACGCGAACAAATATTAGCAGAATGAATGGGCGAATTGAGTTCTCCCTCCCCCCAGCCCCCAATCTATCTACTTTAAAACCTTCATGTTAAAATATCAGGTTTGCCTCTAGTAGGGTACACGTGCCCAGCCTGAAGACTGATATCTCGAGTACTGCACACCTTTGTCCACCTGCCACCCTGGGCAGCTACACTTGGTTGCATTAGGGGAGACATCAAAATGGGGGTACCCAAGGCCCAAATCAGAACCTGTATACATCTCTCCTTTTATCAACCCCAAAGCCCTGTGAATTAGGCTTTAGTTCCCTTTTATAAATGAAACAACACATTCTTTCTGTCCACTCATATTCTAATGAGAAGTCATTCTAGGGAAATGAAAAAGAGGCAGGTTCAGTTTCCATGGTAAATATGCGAGGGGAGGTACCTTGCTTTCATGTTTACGATTAGTGTGATTTGGGCATATATTTTTTCTCTTTAAAATAAGTGTCTCTTACTTTTAGCATGCCATTGTTGGCAAATAAAACTCTTATAAGTTGTCCAACACCTGGATATACCAGTTCAGGAACTGTACATTGTAGGTAAAAATGAACAACTGTATGTACCCAGCAAGCACGTTAACTGGCTTCCTCCGAATAAAATAAGAACCGGTAGCCAAATTAGGCATTTGAATTCAATCTCAGGTTAATGAACTATATTGCCTGAAAGAACTACAGGAGAATGCTCTGGGAGCTAAAAGCCACCAGCAAAAGATGAAAACGAGTGGATGAGAATGCAATTAAAGGCATCAACACAGAGGATTTGGAGTAAAAGGAAACCAAGGGACACGAATGATTGTTATTGTAACGTAAACTTATTAGCCTGCTCCGCTTTTAATGCCAAAGTGCGTCCGTGAAAAATTAATCACAGCTGGGACTTCCCTGGTGGCACAGTGGTTAAGAATCTGCCTGCCAATGCAGGGGACATGGGTTCGATCCCTGGTCTGGGAAGATCCCACATGCTGCAGAGCAACTAAGCCCGTGCGCCACAACTACTGAGCCTGCACTCTAGAGCCCGTGCTCCGCAACAAGACAAGCCCGGGCACCACAGCGAAGAGTAGCCCCCGCTCGCCGCAACTAGAGAAAGCCCGTGTGCAGCAACGAAGACACAACCAACCAAAAAAAGAAAAAAAATTAATCACAGCTGACAACTCTTTTATAATGCTGATCTAGAAGAATGAGTAATTTGCTTTCCTAAAGAATACAATGAGACCAAAGGGAAAAAAAAAAAGAATACAATGGAAGAGGGCTCCCAAATGACTGCGGCTGGGCTTCCTTAACTAAGGGGAAGCTCCGAGGTCAAGGGTCACCCACAGAGCCTGCCCTTCCCGCTGCATGTCAGGGCAGAGCAACTGCGTGGGATTAAGCACTGGGCCAGGCTGCTGCCATTGACTTCACATTTATCATTGTCTTCAAATCAAACACAGACCTAGGAGGTCAGAGTGGTGAGACCTCACGGGGACACTTATGGGTATGTGCACTTTTCTGTATGCATGTTCTACTTCAATAAAAAAGTTAAAGGAAAAAAAGGTAAGGAACCCGGTGAAGGAAGAGTGAGTGACTCTCCCAGAAACAGTTCCCTGGTAGGTTCCCCTTGATATGTTTGTTCCCTCCCAGAAGGTAGTGACGGATAAGGAGGAAAAAAGGACCACTTCTTGAATTTAACGAATTTAGCCTTTCTTCCAAGGCTCTCAGAGCACCCTTTCTCAAAGTTAAATCTGTTTTTCCATGATTATATCTTAAGCTACTAAGTAAGCCACTTTGCAGATACTCTAACTTTTAGTAGCAATATTTTTCAGTTCGACTGGGTCATTCAGTGTGTATTTAGTGCTGTAGAGCTTACCTTGTAACGTGTTAAAGATGGCAAAGAGATACATGAAGGTGACATTAACTGGTCCCCAGGCAAAGAAGGCAAAGCCCCAAGTAATTCCTAGTAAAAACGTAAGGCCAGCGACACTCCTGAGATCTTGAATACTGGTTTTTCGTTGGGCTCCCAGTTGCTTCTTCTTTTTAATTCGAAAAAGTTGAACCAGGACCACAATGAACATGCTGACGTTCAGCAAAAATATCACACAGAAATATCCCACAACCGTAATATAGAATACAGCATTGCTGTTGATCCAGCAACTGGAATTGGGGGGAAAAAACAGGGAAAACATATTATGGTTTTTTTTGCTGAAATATGGTTCAAAATGATAACAATGAATCTATATTGTTTTACTGAAACATTTTCCTACAATTACAAGAGAAAAAAAAGATAAAACCTCTGATCTCTACAGCCATTTATAGCTCTAGGGGAAAAACTCCAAGAGGGTTTATTTTAGGACACTTGGTGATTGAAAGTATTTAAAAAATATTCTTTGAAGACATTAAAAGATCTTATCCCCTTTAGATCCTAGTAACTCTATTCCATGAGTCTTTACTAACATAGTGTAGCTGGTATTTTATTTTTATCAGAGGCTTATAAAAGTATTTTTGAAATACTTCCTCCTAATTCATTTTTTTAATACTTACACAGTAGCATGGCTTTTCTAACTAGCTGATCTCATTACATATAGAACTGCAAAGCCTGCTGTAAATGTTACTGGATTTTATTAGGATGAGAGCCAGTTGATATGCTGATTAGAGCCTCCATTTTCTTGGAGAATTCTGCTTTCCAGTTCACTTAACATTCCGAGGGGGGCTTTGTACTCACAAGTCATCAGGTGACCCGTTGGGGAATTTCCCATAGGATCCAAGTCCATAGTTATCTGGAGATATAATCAGGACAATGGTCACAACCACAGCTGGTACCCCTGGAAGATGGGAAACATTGGTCACACACAGTTCTAATAACCAAAGGTGGTGAGAAGAAAGAATAGAGATCACGTTCTATTTTCTTCTGAAATAGCAGAGACTGGTGAGCTGTTCACCAAACCCAGTTTCTCTTCCTCCCGGCATGTGGCTGGCCGTCTCCCAGCCTCTCTTACAGCTAGGTGTATGTGGCTACTTGACTAAGTCTTGGCCAATGGAACATGGACAGAAGTGATTTGCTCCACCTCTTGGCCTAGCCCATAAAAACCTCCAGTGAGATTCTCTACTCTTTTCTCCCAAATTCAGAGCGACCTTGGAAGCCCTGTCTTGAGGCAGAGTCTCCAGCAGCTTGGCTCCTGAAAAATCACAAGACCAGAGACCCCTCCACTTCTGCTAACTGGACTGCACATGAGTAAGAAATGACCTGCTCCTGACATTTCAGGGTTTGTCTGCTATGGTAGCTAGTGTTAGCCTTAACTTACACCCATCTGGAATGTAATTTTAAGGGTCAGGTGGCAGGCAAAGTGAAGGACTCCAAAATATACACCAAAGAATCAACCTGTTAGGGTTACCAGCAACTTCTGGAAAAACTTCCATTATGAACCCCAAAGTCCTCAACTGATTATCTGGAACCCGTTGATGGACTGAGATGCCTGACCTGATTGATTTGGGGGTGTTGATTGCCACTACACTGGCTCTCTCACTGGCTCTCCCAGGGCGCTTGGGCTAAGAGGAAGCATAATGAAAAGGCTCCTCTCCGCTTAAAGTGACCTTGGGCTGGGAAGGAGTCCGTCTCACCCCTCTACCCCATCACTCCCCACCCCACGCTGACACTTCACACTCTGTGCACACAGACCAGCCTGGCATACAATCTCAAGGCTCTGGTAAATAAAAAACAATTCCTTCTCACAGCCAGGTTGGGCTACCTGGTACCATCTAACATAATATTTCATTTAATTCTTTTGTATTTGTACCTTACGGAGACCCTGACATATGGTGACTTCCTAAGCGAGACACCTTCCTAAAAAGAAAATACTGGGGGTGTGGAGCTTTTCCTTGACAAGGGAATCTGACCATTCAGGATTGTACAAAGAAGACGGAATCCGTGCCCAAGATCAGAGGCAGGGATTTCTTTTTCTGGGAATAAGTGACTTTCTAGAAAGGTGTTGTTCTTCACAAAGATATAATAACAAGCAGGATGACAAGGGAGGAAAAGGGTCTGCAATCCTATTGCATAGGGAATATCTGAAGGAATATTTATTTAATATACATATATTTTAAAATATCTTTTGATGTAGACCATTTTTAAAGTCTTTATTGAATTTGTCACAATATCACTTCTGTTTTTTGTTTTTTTTGGCCCGAGGCATGTGGGATCTTAGCTCCCCAACCAGGGATTGAACCTGCACCCCCTGCATTGGAGGCGAAGTCTTAGCCACTGGACCGCCAGGGGAAGTCCCTGAAGGAATATTTAGCCTGAAGAAGAGGAGGGAGTCCGGGAGGGATGGCGGCTATAATACAGTGGAAGGGATATGCATAAGAAATTAGAGGGCTTCCCTGGTGGCGCAGTGGTTGAGAGTCCGCCTGCCGATGCAGGGGACACGGGTTCGTGCCCCAGTCCGGGAGGATCCCACATGCCGTGGAGCGGCTGGTCCCGTGAGCCATGGCCGCTGAGCCTGCGGGTCCGGAGCCTGTGCTCCGCAACGGGAGAGGCCTTGGCAGTGAGAGGCCCGCGTACCGCAAAAAAAAAAAAAGGAAATTAGAAAGCCAGCCTCGGCTGTTCTCGAGCTGTGGAAATTAGGGTAAATTACGTCATCACTTTGAGCCGGGTTCTTCACCTGGTATTAGCAGTAACTGCCTTGCTAACTTCACTGACTTGTCTCTTATGGGGTTACTTGTGTGAAAATACATTGAGAAATAGAGCATTATACATATACATTACATGTAGATTATCTAAAGGACTCTTTGGCAGAAGAGGTATCAGCTTCTTATTTTTTCTCCTGAGAGAGCAAAACCAAGACCGCTGGAGTGCCACCAGAGAGCCAAGTGAACTTAATGGAAAAACAGACCTGCGGAGCTTTAGAAGATGGGCATTGGCTGCCTTGTAAGGTATTAAAAACGAGACAACAGGCCCAAAATGGATTCGCTTATGCTAGCCACAGGTCACCAAACTGAGACTTAACTCCATTACAGAGTTAAGTCTTCGGCTCTCCCAGAAATGGAATCTTAAACCAGTCAATCCGAAATCACCTTATCAGCACTAGGTAGGTAACCTGCCTGATAGACCCCTGCCACCCCTGAAGGAAAGTAACCTTGCAATAACCAACCCGCTTTATTGCCCAGAATGACTTCCTTATTCCTGCTTCCTTCTGCCTATAAAAAGTCTTTCACTTGGTACAGCTCCTCAGAGCCCCTTTCTATCTGCTAGACGGGATGCTGCCCGATTCATGAGTTGTGAATTAAGCCAGTAAGATCTTTCAAATGTACTCAGCTGAATTTTGTTTCTTAATGGAGGTAATGAGCTCCCCTACAATAGAAAAATTCAAGCAGAGGTTAAATTATCTTTAGTCAAGGGTAAGTCAAGTCCAGGAGGCTCCTACATTTGGTGGGGAGTTGAATGAATAAACCTTCAAGATCTTGGGGGCGTCTAAGACTTTGTGATCCACCACTGACAGGTGGCATGATCTGAAATACCGGGCCGGTGTGGTGATGAAGTTACATTAGGTTTTATCTGTACGTTCTCTCGCTCTGCCCTGCTGAGCACACTGTCGTGCACATGTGTGAATCTGGGAGGTACAGAGCAGAGTGAGGCTGGCTGGGAGCTTGGGGACTGACAGTCTGGCCTCATTATCGCCAAGCTAATATTTTCAATTGATTGAGCACCTTCTGTGCCAGCCCCAGTTCTAGTTACTGGAGATACAAAGAGGATTCATAGCCCTAACCTCAGAGTGCTGTGGTCATAACCAAGCCAGGGTAAATATACAGGTGTTCTAGAAAGAGACTTGACGAGGTTGCTCTCTGGGCAGTGAAACATGAAAAGGAGAATAAAGCTGTTTTAGAAACCTGCCAAGTATGACCTGCTTCATCAATGTCTCTATCTGATTAAAAATCAAAACACTGGAGAAAAAGCAGAGAAAACCCAGGCACTGTGTGAGCAAAAATTATACGTACCCCAACCAACAATGCAGAATTTAAGGATGTATTTTCGGATGTAAGTATTAAACACTTTGACAAGGGCCAGGTACATATGGAATGCTTCCAGGCCCATCCAAGTGAACGAGACCAAGAGAAAATAATGCAGAAATATAGCCACTGAGATGCAGAGGCCTCTTATGTCATACAAAGCAATCCACGAGTCCAAGAGGAACACCAGGTTCAGCAGCAGCAGAGCTGCACACAGCTGGATGAGGATTTTGGAAGGGTAATCCCTCCGGATCTTTCTAAAAGGAAAGGACAAAAAAAGAATTAGCATCACAATCTGCCAACGTTTATGTGAACATATCTGTGTTCTAAGCAATTTATTTGTATTTTTTGGTAAATGTCTATATGTATAAATTTCGTCTCTTTGAGCGTGGGTGTGTATGTGTGTGGGGGGGGAGGCATTAAAGCCAACAATAACAACAAAGGGAAAATCGAAACCGAATCGTCTGTGATAACCATATGGAAAATTCATGTTTATATTTCAGTGGAACCTTTTAATACATGCCGACTATTGACCCATCCTTTCAAATAGTTTGTAGTGGAATCTTCTGAGCACCCACCTCCACTTCTCCCAAACGACTTCTAGAAGCATTGTGCTGCTTCTCATACAACAGGCTCCTCTATTCAGATCTTCAAAAAGCCAGATTCTCCTCTTGTGTTAGTAGTTAAAATGAGATCATGGAAAGAAGAGTTCAAACTATATAAATGAAACAGCCGTAGGAAAATACAGCTAACTGACGGCATGCACATGTTTATGCGCGTGAAATTAGATCCGGTGAGATCATTCTGAGTAATGGTCGGCCTTCTAGTAATTTAGTCTCATTAATCGTATTTCCAAAGGTCCACTAGAAGATCTGTAGTCACAGCTGGACCCTAAGTTTGGCACTAAAAGTAAATTTGTGCATTTCCTGATCAGTGTCCAAAATCCAAATCCCAGAACTTACGTATTATTTCATTTAGTTAATGCAATAAAAGTGCCTATATTTCTTTTCCGACAGAATTTATTGGAATCCCCCCCAGAAGTGACCAAAGGGACCCTTCTGATAAGCCAAGAAGGAGATGCTGTCATTTGGAATGTCACTCTTGCTTTGACCTACAAAGCCACACTCACTGAGTATCTGTATTTTTCAGTGACACTTGATACACTTTATTCTTCTTCATCCCCACACCCGTTAATGCATTGAATCTTTTGTGTTTGCTCACTATTATTTAGAAACTTAACATATTAAACACAGCTCTTGTGCTGTACATGGAGCTATGGTCTACTTCACATTGTAAGCTCTTGGGTTTCGGGGTCTGCATCCATCTTTCATTTCTCACTTAATGTCAGCTAGGTACCAGGCATCATTTTAGGGTACAAGGATGATTAAGACACAACCCCTGCCTTCAGTGAGGGCACGAACTAGTGGAAGGAAGGAAGTACATAAACCAAAAAGTCCCATGAAGTTTTACATATAGGTGGCCCCACTAGATGGGTGGACAGGATAAGCTAGGCCGAGGAGCATGCTTAATTAATTAATACACTTTGGCAATTGAGGTGCCATGTCATATAATCCAAGTTTCCAGTTGTGGATACTCACTCAAAGGCTATGTAGGTTACAAGAGTAACTGACAAAAAAATTGATGAAAGCCCACAACCAATATAGGTGATAAATGTCAGGGCCATTATCTGAGCCGGTGGCAAGGATGTTCGAGACAAGTCCTGGAAAATAAAATATTGCTTTCAAGACCAAATATTTTTAAATAAATAACAGAGTCATAATTTACATTTATTGGGTATTCAGGTACCCGTCCATAGTTCGTTCAACAAACCTACAAGATAGGCGCAATTATTATCATCATGTAAAGATAATAAAACTGAGGCCCAGAGAGGATAAGTAATTTGCCAAGGGTCACACAGCTACAAAGTAGAGGAGCCAGGATCCAAATTCAGGTCTGGCCGACTCCAAAGCCCATGTACTTGATCACTGCATTATGGTGCACTGGAAAAGCACCAGGCTAGACGTCAAAAGACTTGAATTTGGCTTCCGGCTCTTATATTTCTTAGTTCTATGACTGTAGACAATTACCTAACAAGTGAGTCTTGATTCTGACTTCATTAATATGAAAATAACAACTCCCTATTCTACCTATCTTGCTGGATTGTTGGGAAGATTAAATAAAATAATTTATGTCAAATGTTTTATAAAATTTTAAAGTGCATTAAAACTATTTTATTACCCATTTTAATCTGAATTCCCTAGTCCTCTTATAGCTATCTTAAAAAGAAAAACTTAAATGTAAAAATAGAATGCGAAAAAATACTTCTACGTTCAAGTATTTTCCTTCAAGTACATTTGCTTATTAGAAGAGTCATTTCATTGGTCTATAACTTTGCCACAATATCATGAAACCTGCTGATCTATCAAAGTTATCCATCAGATTAGACATCATGGTATGATCCCCAGCTAACCCTCAGACCCAAATCTAAGGCCAGGTAGAGTGGGGATATTACCAGTAGGACGCCGAAGCTTGTAAGGTGGCTGCAGGTACAGGTGGTTTCATTTAGCCTCCTGTCTTTGACAGAGCAGCCATCAGATGACCAGCCTCCTCTGCCACCTGTTGGCATTGGAAAGAGTGTCTGCCCCGTCAGCAAAGCCACTGCGCAAATCACTGCTCCTCCCTCCCTGCTCCCCCTCCCCTTCCCACTCAAGACTGAAAAAGTTACGTCTGGAACCTACCGTTTCTGCCCAAGTCCCAAAATACACATCTCACTGTTAAGTCATCCTGTAACAGAAAGATAAACTACAAATAATTAATTTACAGAACTGAAAAAACTGGAAAGCGATTAGAAAAAAAACGGTATTTTAAAATTTCAGAATTTTAGGAGAGTTCTTATTTTACACTGGTCTCTAGAAGCAAGTGAGTCTCATATACGTCAGCACTTAAACTCAGCAATTGTGCATAGGAATCACCTTGAGGCCTTGCTAAAAGGCACATTCTGATTCAGTGGGTCTGGGGTGGGGCCTGAGAGTCTGCATTTCTAGCAAGTTCCCAGGTGATGCTGATGCTGCAGGTCTGCAAACCACACTTTGAGCAGCGAGGTCATAGATGATGCTCAATGTGAACTGAACCAAGATGCTTTCTCTTTGGAGGTGAGAATCAGACCTGTAGCCGCAGATATAAAGCACTGAAAACTGGCAAGAAGAGCTTGCTTTTTACACTGCTCCTTCTTGGAAATTAGGAAGGCAGTTATTAGGCATGTTAAAACCCAACGGAGTGACTATGTGATTCTAGTCTTACACGCTGCCCTAACTGGGTCTAAGGATCTGCTGAATCTACTTTTTTCAGGCAAAGTCTTACAGCCATAGTTTGCATGAGGTGTTTCTGGTCAATGAACAGACCAGACAGGCCCCGCCCACCTGGCTCCGGTGGATGTGCTTTAATGTAACCGTCACGTTTCTTGTCAAATTCTTGACTGTCAGGTTCGCCACGCTCGAGGAAATGACATAGCTGATCAGAGAGAGGTTCTCCAAGGCAGGGTCCTAGCACACCAAAGAATCAACAAGATGGCAAGGGAAAATGAAATGTTATCAGAGAATTTTAGAGCTAGACGGGACCCTAAGGACTATTTAGTCCACACTGGTTTATTTTACTACCTAGGTCAGGAATTCAGGGGCAGGGAGTAAAGTGACTTTCCCAAGGACCATAATGAGAGGCAGAGCTTATTCCACTATACAATGCTCTAAATGCTGAGTTAAATTTCACAGATTGACACAACGAGACCCTCATGAATCTTAAAGGGAACATAACATTAAGCCATTTAAGCTGTGTGTTCCTGAGCAAGTTACTTAACCTCTCTGTGCCTCCATAGCCTCATCTGTAAAACTGGGATAATTCAATAGTTCCTCCCTCATGATGTTGTTGAGAGGATTAGAGTTAACATTTCTAAGTGCTTATGATACTACACGGCAGGTGATAAATGCTATGTGAGTGTCAGTTATTGTTATTTATCCTCAGCAGCATCATTAGGTCCTGTTTAAAAATAAACTACAGGGTTTCCCTGGTGGCGCAGTAGTTGAGAGTCCGCCTGCCGATGCAGGGGACACGGATTCGTGCCCCGGTCTGGGTAGATCCCACATGCCGCGGAGCGGCTGGGCCCGTGAGCCATGGCCACTGAGCCTGCGCGTCCGGAGCCTGTGCTCCGCAACGGGAGAGGCCACAACAGTGAAGGGCCCGCATACCGCAAAAAAAAAAAAAAAAAAAAAAGAGAGAGAGAAAAAAATAAACTACAGCTTTTCAGCAATTCATGTGACTTATAGCAGGCTTAAGAATATGTGAGGATTAAAAGAAATAAAACTCCCTCAGGCCCCTCCAAAACCGAAACCAAAAGCAATTAGAGGCAACTTTACCTGAAACAGGGCAGGTGTTTCAAAAAAGTTGAACTGCACCCTGGAAGCCAGCTCCACATCATTAGCTGGTAAATTACTCATCAGCGAAGAAGGCAGAGTAATAACACCAATACTATTCTCAGGAGCCTGAGTTTCCAGAGAAACCTGAAAATCAAGTAAAAGATCATAAAGACACCTGGGGCTAGTATAATGAAGAGATGGAAAACACGACACCTAATTAAGATGGAGGATCCTGTAAGGGCATTTATTTGTGGTGTCTCTATGTACAATTGGTTCTTCTTTTTTCTCTGACTGCTATGAAATTAGAGGATGTGTAATAGGGAGATGAGGCCTTGGAGCAGGAAAGGAAACATTTTAAGGATAAAGGATATACAGAAACAGAAAGTGCAGGATACTATATGTCAATTATATCTCAATAAAGCTAGGGTGGGAGGGGAGAAAGTTCAGGATAACTGCAGACCCCAAGGAAACCACAGCAGCAGACACACCAACTTGGTGACCTGTTAGGGCAAAGTCATCATAGAACCACATGCACTAAACTTGTAAAGGGAAGACTAGACAAATTAAGTTCAAAGGCGAGACTTGGTTTTACTTGCAGGTTTCCAGTCCCCAATCCCTCTAAAAGAAAACACTAGAAGCAGGATTGATATACAGCACCACTATTCACACCAGTGTAGTCGTAACACTTGTTAAAATATTGAAATGGGGACTTCCCTGGTGGCGCAGTGGTTAAGAATCCGCCTGCCAATGCAGGGGACATGGGTTCGAGCCCTGGTCCAGGAAGATCCCACATGTGACGGAGCAACTAAGCCCGTGCGCCACAACTACTGAGCCTGCGCTCTAGAGCCTGCAAGCCACAACTACTGAGCCCACGTGCCACAACTACTGAAGCCCGTGCTCCGCAACAAAAGAAGCCACCGCAATGAGAAGCCCGCGCACTGCAACGAAGAGTAGCCCCCACTTGCCGCAACTAGAGAAAGCCCGCGCGCAGCAACGAAGACCCAATGCAGCCAAAAATAA